ATGAAAGTTAAGAGGATGACACGTTTCTAACTTGGCAGGTCAATCTGGGTATTTGGTGCAAGCTCTCTGAATAGTCATTATATGGCAACTGTTTGGGCTGCCCTGTGTGTAAACCTAGGCAGAGCTGACCTGAGGCTGAGGAAAGTAGATAAGTTTTGGCCTGCAACACAGTGAATGTCTGGCAGGCATAGGAGTCACAGTTCCTGCAACAACTCATCGCAAGTCAAATTAAGGGAATAATGCAAGCCTAGTAGATATTTAATGAGAGATTATTTCTAGAGATTATAAGGATACAGAAATTGCAAATAAATCCCTGACCTTTCCTGAGCCTTGGCTCAGTGAAAGAGCTGAATCACCTGCTTGAGGGGATTAAGAAGAACTGCTTCCATCTGTCGGGCTGCTCAGACTTTTTCTGTCATTAGCAACTGTTCGGCGGTCATCCTGTCCTAAACCTTTTAGTGGGAACTCGATTTTCAGAGTTAGGAGGTCTCAATTAACTTAGATTAGGAACCTGCTAGGCAGAGATCAGAACGAATGATCGGCTAATGTATGCACTGTAGTCCCTATCATATTAGTGGTACTCAGGACACATTAAATAAAGCAGTTTTTAATCATTTGTAACCTAATCATGACATCAGCAGGAAACTCAGGTTGATGAGAGTAGAAGTCAAACCTGTGAGAGAGTAATAGGCACAGATGGAGAGACAGAGCTGCAGGGAAGTGTGGGGCCGTGGGTAGCAATGTACCTTATAGCTGTTTCAGCTTAGAGGGCTACAGCAACGGTGACACAATTGTACTTCATGAGTTTCTTGTTGGACACAGTGGTTTGACATGCATCTCATTTCTTAACACAGTTTTATCTGTTTATAACTGCAATAATTATCATCATTATGCAACATAATAGGCCAGCAGTTACCTAGAGCTCTTAATATTTGACTTTGCAATATGTAAGCAACAAAAAAGTATATATTTGAACTAATATATACTAATGAGTATTACCTTACCTGTGTATGTGTAAGGCCTTTATGTGTAATATCTGTGTAAGATTTATTTAAAGAAGGTGTTTGCTGGCTTAGGACAAATTGGAGAACTTCTGATGCTGGGAAAATCAAAGGATGAGCATTTACTCAGACTTCAGGGGGAGCGGTGGGGGTGGGGGGTAGGGGGTTGGGGGGTGGGGGGCTGTGCTTTGCTGATTTCCAAAAGTAGTAATTGTAGTTAATGTAGGTTAGTGGAATTTAATTTTTTGGCAATGTACTTAGAAGGTTCTGTTGTATTCTTTTCTATTACCTGTTTTTTACTGAGGACAGGATCTTGCTTCCCACAGTTCCACATGAAAAGACTGAGTTCCCTCTCTAAGGCTGTCTGGCTCTGTCATTTCTTTAGCTACTTGTGCTAATGGATTTTTGAGTATGTATCTTCCTGCGACTGGGCGCATCACTGTCAGCTGCCAGGCTATTTCTAATTTTCAAAACTTTAGTCAGTGTTCACAGGGTAAGGAAGCAAAATAGTAATTTTTCTGAGCAGAAGTTCATTGATGCTGTGTTCACAAACCTACTCTTAAAACATCCAAGTTTGGAATCAGCCCTGGCTGCTCACAGAACACTATTCAAAATGACAGTTCTCTCTTAGACGTCTATGACTCTCATCCCTATGCAAGGATCCTCTTAAGAACCTCTCAAAGGAAGAACTAAAAGGCTTCCACTGATTGTTGAGTCAGTTATTAACATTTTGGAAACCTTAAGTATAAAAAGTAATTTCCCCTCTGACAAATACATTCTAGTAGGCTCTATATAAACTACTGTGAAAAAGGAAGAAAACCCTCCTCTGTGCCCGAAAAGATGCCCAAGATCCTTAGTCATCAGGGAAATGAAGTCAAAGCCACAATGAGATTCCACTTCACACCCACTAGAATGGCTATAATAAAAAAGACAATAACAAATGTTGGCAAGGATATGGAGAAATTGGAACCCTCATTCATTGCCGGTGGGATTGTAAAATGGTGCAGTGCTTTGGAAAGCAGTTTGGCAGTTTCTCAAAAAAGTTAAGCATAGAGTCGCCATGTAACCCAGCAATTTCATTCCTAGGCATATATTGAAGAGAAATGAAAATATGCCCACACAGAGACTTGTACACAGATGTTCTTAGCAGCATTTATTCATAATAGCCCAAAGGAGGAAGCAGCAGCTGATGAGTAGATTCAGGAAATGTGGTCTATCTAGACAATGGAATGGTATCTATAATAATAAAAGTGTAATATGCTAATTAGACCAGATATCCTTATGGACACCCTTCCTTCAGGACAAAGCTGCAGGGGGGGAGGGGTTGGCAGAGGTGCCAGAGGCCCCTGGCCAGGGGGCAGTGAGCAGGGGCTAAGGCTGAGGCAGAGGAGGCAGAGGGCCCTGGCTGCAGTGGTGGTGGCGGCGGCGGGGGCAGTGGTAGCAGGGGCCGAGGCTAAGGCCCTTGCACGAATTTTGTGCATTGGGCCTCTAGTTTCATCATAAAAGAATGATGTATTGATGGTAACAGCAGAGAAGAATCTTGAAAATATTATGCTAAATGAAAGAAGCTAGACACAGAAGACCACATGTTGTATGATTCCAGTTACATAAAATGTTCAGAATAGGAAAATCTACAGAGGCAGAAAATATATTAGTGGTTTCTAGAGGCAGGAATAAGGTGGAAATAGAGTGTGTATGAGTTTTGCTAATGTGTATGAGTTTTTTGAAGGGGGAAATGAAAATGCTATAGAATTTGATAGTGGTAATTAATTGATAACTTTGTTAATATGCTAGAAATTAATGAATTGTGGGTGAACTCTGTGATATGTGAAATATATTTCAATGAAGCTATTTTAAAAACTCTTTTCCTCGGTTCCAATAGTTATTTGGCCTGTGTATTATAATTTGTTATTAAGTTTAGGAAATGTCTATGGCATGAGTTAATTGAGTTTCACTTGGAAAAATAATTTTGATTTGGCTTCAGCTTCCAGTCAGAAAGCCCAATATAACACAATTTGCAAAGTAAATACTTGGTTAATACTAGAAAAAGCAAGGGATTGATTTATTAGGCTTTTTACAGCTTTAAGGGAATGTAATAGCAATGTTTTGTATAATAGTTGGTTTCCAGGTAGAAAAGCACTCTTTTCCTCCTTTTCTAGTACTTTACTTACTATCCTAGAGACCAAGTGGTTTATAATAAGTACCACTAAGCACTAAGCTTGCATGTAAGAACAAGAGTTATTTCCCTTTGGGAAGAGAAGTTTTGGGAAATTAGCATTCTAATTTGATTTGGATAATTGTCAGTGATTTTTTAAAAAAGGGTTTTTATCTTCACTGGATCTAAGTTTACTCATAGACATTAAGAATTGGAGAAAGATTCCATTTGGATTAGATCCAAGAGAAGTTCCAGTTCTGCTCAGTGCTCAGAGTGTACAAGTTTATTTCTTGCCCTGGGATGATGACAAATCACTTATAATACTCATCTTCCTACCTTTTGCCATTTCCCTCTCTACTCTGAACATTCATTTGTAGAATGTTTTTTTCCTGATATCCCAAGGAGGTAAAGATGAACCCATTCTTAAAGATGACCACACAGATTTATTACTGGCTAACAGAGTGTGGGGATGAATTTTGGAGGGTTTCCAGCTTCATTGTCAGGGTGGGAATTAGTTCTGTGCTGTGGAAAACGCTGCTACTGTTGATCTTCTGTTTTCTGAGTGACATTAGTGGGTTTGGGAGCTGATGGAAAATGTGGTCACCACCTGCTGAGTTACCATGGAGAGCACACAGAGGCTGACTCTACTTCCTGCCTTAGTTCCTCTGCCTCAGATAGCTTCTCTGTTTAATTTTCTTCTGGGTCTCTTCTTCTTCTCCTCCTCCTCCTTTTTCTCCTCTTCCTCCTCCTCCTCCTCCTCTTTCTCCTCCTCCTTCTCCTCCTCCTTCTCCTCCTCCTTCTCCTCTTCCTTCTCCTCCTCCTTCTTCTCCTCCTTCTCCTCCTCCTTCTTCTCCTCCTTCTTCTCCTCCTTCTTCTCCTCCTTCTTCTTCTCCTTCTTCTCCTTCTTCTCTTTCTTCTTCTTCTTCTCCTTCACCACCTTCTTCTTCTTCTTCTTCTTCTTCTTCTTCTTCTTCTTCTTCTTCTTCTTCTTCTTCTTCTTCTTCTTCTCCTTCTCCTTCTCCTTCTCCTTCTCCTTCTCCTTCTCCTTCTCCTTCTCCTTCTCCTCCTCCTCCTCCTCCTCCTCCTCCTCCTCCTCCTCCTCCTCCTCCTCCCTCCTCCCTCCTCCCTCCTCCCTCCCTCCTCCCTCCTCCCTCCTCCCTCCTCCCTCCTCCCTCCTCCCTCCTCCCTCCTCCCTCCTCCCTCCTTCCTCCTTTATTCTTTTCTTCTTCCCTGAGCAGGAGTTTATTTCTCTCTTTAATCCAGAGTCACATATAAGGCAGTTGGTTAAATGGGTTTTGGGTGAGTCTCCCATATATTAGACCTGCAACTTTGGTCAAGATACCTGGGTTTGCCAAATCTCAGTTTCTTCATCTTTAATATGAAGCCAATGATGGGATCAGCCTAGAGGACTTGCTTAGGAAAAAATGAAATAATCTATGTCAATAACTTCTCCAACATTTATGCTTTTTGAAGGCGACCAACAAACAGTTAGTCTTCCAGCTTCTGATATTAACCAAGCAATTTAAAGGATGCCTAGTTATTCTTTTGGTATGGTGCTCATCACTGAATGCTACAGTTTCTTTAACTATACATTGATGATAAGCTTGCAGAGTTACTGTGAAATTTAAATGAGATAATATACACAAAACACTTATAACTGTACCCAGCATGTGGTAAGCTCTTAGTGAATAATAGCTAAAAAATTATTCCCATGCCCTTTTTGGGAAAAATTAAAAGGACATGTGGCTACACCATGGGACTGAATCATCTTGGGTTTGTCATGCCTTGTCCCAAGGTTGGTTTGTGCTGCCAGAAACTTGAACTCTATACTCTCCCTCTTTCAGCTGCACAGTTGGACAGCATTGGCTTCAGCATAATCAAGAAATGCATCCACGCTGTGGAAACCAGAGGTACGTAGTTCAACAGATGACATTGTTCTCAGCAAAGGCCACACATTTGGACAGGTGTCAGACCTGAGACCTGCTACCTGCTGATTTCCAATTTTAAGTGACTCACGAACCCCCAAGTCCCATGGCCAGTGTGTTTCTATGAGTTGTGTTGCAGAGGCTCTCAGCCAATTTGGTGTGGTTGACCGCTTTGATCTGAAGAAAGCTTTAAATGCATACATATCAAATACTTGGGATTAAAGGGAAACCAATTACTAAAGTTCAGTTATTAAAGTACTAATAATATATGTTGTGATGCAGTAATATGTGTTTCTTTGTTAACACTTTAAATAAGTGGTGCTTGACAAGTTGCTCCATTCAGAAATATTTCAAGGTGTCTGTAACAGTTGTAATATGTTATGAAAACACCCGTGACTTCTGACCAAGTTGCAGGCACTGCTGAATCTACTGTGATTTGTTGCTTATATTGTAATGGAAGGGAAATGTTTAATTTTCATTTAAAAGTTAGTGAAAATAAAGCTGTAATTGTGTTCCTCAGTTCATAGACACCCTGAATTCTGTAGTGGACCTCTTAATGACCATGGACCCCAGGTGAAGAACCTGCTCTGGAAGCTTGTTGCTTGGGACCATCCAGGCAGAAAGAAATGTCCAGGCCCCTAGTTTCCTGCAGTGGCCCTGTGGTCAGCCCTGTCTATCACACATTGACCTTTCTGGGGTCCAGAGGAACAGGGCTTTGAGATCAGGGAAGTTGTTTCATCCCAATGGTCTCCATCCCCTCTTCTGAGGCGACCACGAAGGCAATTCTTCGGTTCTAACAGTTTGGAGCTTTGAGTGAATTGGTCTGTTGAGTCCCTTACAAAAGCTGGTAACTGTCTTCCACTAGGCTTGATATGAATCATCGTCAAAGTTGTGCATCTTACTTTTTCTACCACCTCTTAACCCACCAGCCTTTTTTATTTGTTTGGAAGAAGTTCTACCACTTAAAGCAGGATCCATAACTCTTGCCAGTTGAGAAATATAGGCATCTTTATAAAGGCTATAAAGCATTGAGGAGAGGGAGAGAAAAAAAAAAGTTAATCTTAAAAGCCTGTACTTTTATGTGTCCAGTCAAAAATCTTTTATCCAACTTAGTTATTTTAATATGTACTAACATTTTAAAATGTTTGCTTATGTTTCAATAAAGAGTTAAGGCAGTTTGCAGAGATAATGCAAAATGTAACCAGAGAATATAAAGTGACATTTCTGGGAGTGGATCTTTGAAGAAATAAGGACATGGGCCAGGTTGAGTTATAAGGATGTTTACAGAAAGGTGTTATTAAGGTTAAAAATCGGAAACTAGCCAAATGTCTCAAATTTTGGTTAAATCAACAGTGCTACATCCATGCAGTAAAAAAACAAAAAACAAACTCTGAATCACTAAAAATGCAGTGGAAATATACTTATTGACACCCAAGATTTTGATTATATATAGTAAGTGAAAAGTGCAAGTTCTAAAACAGCCTGCCAAGCATGAAACCATTCTGGGGTAGAGAGGAGGGGGAGAGATTCATGCCTGCATAGCTATCTTAGTGTTGTCAGGGGGTCTCTGCTGTTTTTACCTTCTTCCTTTGATTTATCTGTTTTCCATAACTGCAGTTCCTAAGTTTTTAGAAGTAGGTATAATTAAGATAATTTTTCAACAGGCATTTTGAAATCTTTTTATTTAACCCGTTAATTGCCACGATATTTTGAATTTAATTAAAAAAGGTCTGCCGCTTATGTCTATAAACATCTATGGCATACAAATGGTTAAAAATAAAAGAATCAGATAGAAGAGCTCCAGGGTTAACAAAAGTAGAGGCATAAATGTAGAGCCAAAAGTGAGTTCAAAACAGAAGCCCCCTCCTCTCTGCTCCCCAGGCACCTTCATATACTTGCCTGCGGTGGGCCACCTGTCAGCCGCTCAGTTTTCAGCAGCCAAAACAAAGAGAGAAACCTAATCATTTAAAACCCTTCACAGAGAGTGTGATAAATGCATGCTCATAGCGCAGGAGGACGACTCTTTCTGATATGAAGCCAGAAAATATACAGGATAAGTGTTGAGGAAGAGGAGGGGCACCAACTGGATTGGTCTCTTAGCTTCTGCTTCCAAAAATGACGTTTTAACTTCTGAGAAAGTTTTCATTTAGACAGTGAGTTAAAAACATTTTTACATAAAGGCATGAAGGAAGTGGCTATTTCCCTACTATAGGGCATGTATGTACATACATATTTGTGGTGACCAGAAATGACCAGACCTCCCATGCTCTCTGGGGCTCATTAATCATTGCCCAAAAGCCGGGATTGTGTCCAATTCCAGGAAAGCTCAAGGACAAAAGAAAGAAATTGACACTTCAGAAAGGAAAAGACCTTTAAGCCACCTCATCACTGAGTAATGGTTCTGCTACTGAGTAACTTGGGGCCAGTTCCTTAGTTTTTGCCTGGGGTCTCCTAGCCATGAACCATGCGGAATCATGCCATGCTCTTATAGATCTGTTTTAGCTGTGGAAGCCCGTCATTCCAAACCACTTGCTTTTATTCATGAGTACCATTTCTAGATAGGTGGTGTAGAATCAGCCTTTTCCCACATTTCTTCCAGGAAATTTTGTTTTGACCCTGAAATAGTGGCTCTGATGGAGTATAACTCACTGTATTATTCACTCTATTCTAATCACATATCATATACTAATCTGGATGCTGGGGATACAATGGGGAGGAAGACAGAATCACTGTATTATGAGTTTACATTGTAGCTCAGGGGAGAAAGATAGACAAGAAACCTAATAAAGATAATTTTAGATATTAATTGCTATAAAGAAAAGAAAACAGGACCAGGTACTGGCCAATAGTGTTGGCCATGGGATGCATTAAAGAGGTTGTATTTAAGCTGAGACCTGAATGATGGAAAGATCTAAGAAAGAAGGGTTGTAGGTGGAGGAAAGGCTGTGATTGGGGACCTGAGCTTGATTTGCTGGAGTAACAGGAAGGCCAGTGTGTCTGGAGTGGAGTGGAATAGTTGATGCTAGGGCCAGGGGTAGGCCTGAGTTCAATCATGTAGGACCTTTTAGGCACAGTGAGGTTTGATTATGATATAAGTACAATGGAAAGCTACTGGAAGGTTTTTAAGAAAAGAGGTTGTTTGAACTGATTTATGTTTTGAGAACTTCTCTTTGACTAGTGGTTGTAAAATGGACCTCGGGATAAAAAAGGAAGTGGGAAAAAGGTATTAGTTATGATTGGCCTAGGACTAACAGGAGAAAAGTCATTTTACATCACTTCGTCTGCATCGTCCCCTTTGGTAAATGACACAGTGGTCATCTCATCTTTATATTTACATGAACAAAGTGCTGAGGTGGGTTAGTTTGGGTTCTCTGTTTGGGTGTTTGAAGGTAAACCCCCTCTAGTTCAGTTGCACTTTCCTTGGGTTGAATGAAGGTGGTCCTTTTTAAAAAAAATTATATAATGAATATTTATATTACAAATGAATGGGTTTTCTGATTTCTCAGTCTTGGCAAAAATTCTCCAAAATTAAAAATGTCTTTGCCTCACAGCTCAATATTTTTATTCTCTCTGTGAAAATTGTGAAGTATGAATTTTTGTCATGTCATTTTTGGCTTTCTAAATTAAAAAACTGGTTAACTATGATCTATTAAAAGTATATATTTTACATCTTTCAAAACTCTTCAGATGCTGCTTTTGGCAACAGAAGAGAAAGGTTCCTTTCTTCTCTGATGACTGAACTAACATGAGGGCTGAAGTGTGCAGCACACCCGTGAAATCCTAGACAGCTGTACCAATCTCACTCCTTTGCGAAGAGCAGAGCTGAGTGACAGGCGACTTTAATTAGAGTGGCTTTTAGAAGGAACGAGAAAATGAAAACTGCCTTTGGCTGGGGTTGGCTTGGCTTGTGTTTTGATTTACCTTTAATTAAATCATCACTATTTCTCTTCTCAGGTATTAATGAGCAAGGGCTGTACCGAATCGTGGGGGTCAATTCCAGAGTGCAGAAGTTGCTGAGTGTCCTGATGGGTGAGTGCAGCTCTGGCTCTGCCAGACAGGCCCCTGAGAAGTCACCAGGTTCCTAAATATGTTCAGCACATAGGGAAGGAATCAGGTTGTTCCAAGAGGTAACTCCCAGGAATAAGCTGCCTCACTCACCATTGCCTTGACTGCTGGGATCATTGGAAGAGGTACTGAGTGGGACTAGATAAAAAAAAAATGGCAGGTCCAACACACCACACCCTCTCTGTTTGTAGACTTGGCCCTGCCAGTCCCAGTGATGCTAGGTGGTTCATGTGACCACCACACCCTACTCTGTCTTTAATAGCTCATGACTCCCTTGGTCCTGTTTGGAGACAGGCATTTAGTGGGGCACACCCAGGGCCTGAGGAAAGATTTCCTTCTAGCCTACAGAGGACCTCTGGTCTCATGTTCCCTGTGAAAAAGAAGGGGTCATGTGATGCCCAGATAAAATGTATATAAGCAGATAGTTCTTCTGATTCTCTTTGCATGTAGATTTCAGCCTAGTTTCATTTGGGCAGCAGAACCTCTTTTGCAGCTGGCCCATCCTATATAATAAAGATGTAATACGCAAATGGTCATTATGCCGTGAAGCATAACGACTAACCCGGTAGCGACCAGATCACGGATCAGCAGAAGGGTGGGAGAGCAAGCTATAAGTGGGCAGTGGAGAGCTACAGGAGGGGGCAGGGCAGCAAGCTATGATGGGGGGCAAGAGGGAGCTACAGGATGGTGGGGCAGCAGGCGGAGAGCTATTGGAGGGTGGCAGCGAGCTATTGGCACTCAGTTTCATGCGCAGGGCTACTAGTATAAATATAAAACTATCTCCAAGTGTGCAGTGTTCAAATCAAAAACCCATGAGCCAATGAGCCAAATTTGCCTAGGCTGCAGATTTCCTGTATTTTTAGATATGAATGCACCAGCCTCAGTGAGTCACAGATCTAAATGGCAAACAGATCAGATTGCACCCATCAGTGGCTGTTTTTCATCCCACGGAGGCCCAGCCATGCACTTGGAGAGTTGGACTGTCACTCAGCCATGCACTTGGAGAGTTGGACTGTCTGGGCAGGGCCACTTCTCTTGTTTGTATTTGACATTTCATTTGCCATTCCAGTTTCCGAAAATAGTTTTCATATGTAAAGAATTCTCCTCTCTCATGTTGACGAGAACAACTCTCTACTTCTTTTCTAGAGAGTTCCTTGCTTCTTGTAGGCAAAACTCTACTGTATTGCTAGCCACAATGAGATCTTTTGCTTGAAACTATGATTACTTTAAGGTACTCCTTGGGAATTTGTTTTGGTTTAGATTTGGGATATGATTAGTTTATTTTAAAAAATTAACTATTTTGAGATAATTATAGATTCGCATGTAGTTGTAAGAAATAACTTAGAGAAACCCTATGTGCCTTTGCCCACTTTCCTCCAATAGTAACATCTTTCGGGGTTTTTAGTGCAGTATCACAACCAGGATATTGATCCAGTTGAGATACAAAGCAGTTCCATCACCATGAGGGGCTGTTGTGATGCCCTTTCATGGCAATACCCATCTGCCTCGCCTTCATCTCACCCCCATGCTTAACACCTGGAAACCACTGATCTGCTCTCCATTTCTGTAACTGTATCATTTCACGATAATCATATATATATTTTTATATATGGGGGGAGGAGGGCAATGGTAAGATATGTACACAGATAATTTAATAAAAAAAGATAATCATATAAATGGAATTATATAATATGTAATCTTTTGGATTTGGCTTTTTTTTCAATCAGCATAATTCCTTTCAGATTTATATCAATAGGTTTTTTTAAATTGCTGAGTAGTATTCCATTATATAGATACACCACAGTTTATTTAACCATTCACTTGATGAAAGACATCTGGGTTGTTTCACATCTGGGGAAATGACAAATAAAGCTGCTATAAAACATTCATATACAGGTTTTTATATGAACATTAATTTGTTTCAGTGGGATAAATGCCCAAGGATACAATTACTAGGTTGTATGGTGATATGGTTAATTTTCAAAAAATTCTAATGTAAGGCTGAATTAAGTGTCTAACAGGTCTCAGTTTTCAGTCTTTCATTTCTTAGCAGTGCTTCAAACACTTGTGGAGCTTCTGCTCTTGGAAGCAGATGGTCCAGTGCTAGGGATGAAATTTGAGAAAGAGTCATTCCTTGTCTGCAAAGTGTCCAGCAGGAGAGAGATATGCAGCCATGTGAGAACTATGGTGTAAAATACGATCCTGGTGCCTAATATGAGCTGGGTCTGGAAGACTCAGTAGTGAAGGAGAGAAGAATAATTCAGGTTCAGGAAGCATGAGCAATGGCATGGGGGCAGAAATCAGGGTCTGTGATGGCTATACCAGAGAGTACTGATTTTATTATTTTAATATTTGAAAGTACTCAGGCTGCGACAGGAATGTTAAAGCTGAAAAGCTGAGATGGCCCCCTTTCTGAAAAAATTGAATATTTTGCTAAGAGGTTTGCTTGTTTTTCTCTGTAGGAAGTGAGATGTTGTTAAAAGTTTCTAGGTAAGTGGAACTGTGTGTGTTGGGACTTTATCAAGTGTCAAGAAGGCAATTCAGAATAGTTTAAAGGGAAAATAAAAGGCATTTATTTGCTCACATAGTTGGTAAGGCCAATATAGCAGTAGGGTCTGGTGGTTCCAGTGACATCTTTACGTTTGTGGGAGCCTTTCCTACTCATTTTTCTGGCTTTCATTATCTGTGACCTCTGCTTGTCTTGGTATTGGCTGTTTTCATCATTGGAATGTTCCACATAGTCCTGTCTCAGCAGTCCTTGGAGCTTGCATCACTGAGAAGGGAGTGTCTTTTTTGACAGTTTTGGCAGAAGATCCCAGGGCAGACTTTGATTGATCAGTATAGGGCCAGTCAATCAGTGATTAATTTCATAATCTCATACCAGTCACATGACCTGCAGCAGATGGATCCAGATGGCCTGGATCCTGTGCCTGTCTCTGGTGGTCCACAGTTACCTCTGTGAGGGTGGTAGAGGCGTAGGTTGTGGGGGAGTGTTAGTCCACAGGATCTCGTGGACCACGCAGGGTTATTAACAATGATGGAGGAGTGCTTTCCTGAAATGGCTGGTGGGTAATAGCAAAGATGTTAACTAGATCAGATGCTGATTTGAAGAGTGTAACACTGTCAGCTTTGTGGAGCATGCATTTGATCACGGAAAGATCTGGAGGAAGAAGACAGTTGCAACATAATAGGTAGAGCATGTCCCATCAAGGGCTGAACCAAACAGCTGCTCTGAGGTCAGGAAGAAAGGACAGGAACAAAATGATTGGAGAGAGAGAATCAACACCATTTTTTAACCAACTGGATACAGGCGAGGAGGAGGGGCTGAGATATTTCAAAGATGACAGACTTTCCTGTCGGGCAACACTAATGAAAAGAATTATGACATTTTAGATGGGTTTGCTAATCTAAAAGAGAGGCACTTTAGCTCAGTTGTGCTAAGCAAAGAGTGTTGGAAAAGATCTTGTTTTTATCATTTTTATTTGTGGCCCTCAAGCAAGATATTTATCCTTTTTTCTTCCTTAGTTTTCCCAGGGATAGACAAAATGATCATGGACATCTGAGAATTGTCATGAAAAACTAATAACTAGCAGCTGAAAGTCATGAGGCCTGCTGTCTCTGCCAGGAGGACATTGCAGATAGACTAGAATCCAAACTGAGGTTCAAGCAGAGCTGAGAAATGAACCCAGTGCAAGATCCAATCAAAAGTATAATACTGAATATAACCAGAAATTAAACAATAAAATAAAAAATTTAAAAAGTGGAGCCCTGGCCAGATGGGCCCAGCTTGTTGGAGCATCATCCTGGATACCAAAAAAGGTTGTGGGTTCAATTACCGGTCAGGGCACATACCTAAGTTGCTCATTTGATTCCTAGTTGTGGTATGTATGGGAAGCAACCAGTCGATGTTTCCCTCTTTCTCTTTCCCTCCCTTCCTCTCTCTCTAAAATCAATAAAAACTTATCTTCAGGTGATGATTTAAAAACAAACAAACAAACAAGTGGAGAATGGTATCTGTGATTCTAACTGCCTGTTAGTGTGGCTTTAAACTTGAGAAATCACCCAGTTGGCAAGCGAGACTCTAGACGTAAGGCCAAGCCCTGCCTTCCCTCCCTTCTGTGAACAGGCTCATCATCAATTCTTGGCATTGATACTAGAGTTGGTTAGCCAAGGGTATAATATAAATATGGCTCCTATACTCCCAAACCCCTCCCTCAATAGCTGGACCAAGTATAAACACCTTCATTCACTATTCCTTTTATCTATATTCACTGGATGCCTATTACATCTCAGGCACTGTGTAAGATTTGGATTATTTGTCAGAGTCTCTCAAAAGTGGAATAATATATTTTTATTATTTAAAGTATGGTTTAACATTAAAGAGTAACTTGGATCACTTTGAATTTACTGTGTGTACTTCTAATACATTAAGGGACTTTAAGTGGGAAGCGGAAGATAGCTAGTGCTTGGAGAACATCTCCTTTTTACTGGTTGAAATTCCTTAAGAAACCTTGCTAGAATGTCTCAGAGCAAATGCAGCGGAGCCTCATGCTCATATCATGTCAAGAGCTACCCTTGACCCCTCCCGGATAGCAAGGAGTCATTAGTCTTTGAAGGGTGAAAAGGATTCAGGAAGGCTTGCAGGTTCCTAGAAAAGGTGTAACTTCTGTGTATGTAGTGTCTGGTGTTTTTTCCCTTGAATGCCAAGCGAAGATTAATCTTTACAAATTTTAGCTTAATGTTTTAAAAATATAAATCAGCTATATGTTTGTTCAGGGCATGCATGAATCTCTTTCTGTATATATTTTAAGTAACTTATTTTTGGATTAAAAGTTATAAGTGGTCACAATAGGAAAGTTGGGGATATACAAGAAGTATGAAGAAGAAAATAACAGTCTTGCAGATCAGAGATAATCTTTTACTGCCATTATAATACCACCATCATCTTTTAAAAATAATCTCCT